CTGTTGATCAGTGCCGGTATATTGGTATATTTCGTCGATTTCCCCACAATTAGAATCTATTGTGATGGTTTTGTCCGTATAGTAAATCACATCAGCCGCTGACCACTATACACTAACTATGATCTTTTTTGATGGGTTTCAACCTTTGACAAGTGCCTCGGGAGCTCATCAGTGTCCAACCGATGTCCTGAACGTCTTTTTTCGTAAAGTACAGTTTTGATTGCAAAAAAGCAAAGAACAGACCTCGAAACGTGACAATTTCTGTCGATCGTTCAAATCGTGGGTCGGGTCACCCGCTTTTTGAACTGTTTGACCTTTCCAATACGTTTAAAACCACCAAAACCGCATGGGAGTTGACGTTCAGTTCTTCCGTCATCCCACGCACCATTTGTGATGGGTCAGTCTCCTACAGTGCCCTCAATTTCTCGTCCTGCATAACTATAGGTCGACTACTTTGGGGCTCATCTTCGAAGCTGAAATCTCCGAAACGAATTTCGCAAACCAACGCAAACAGTACGTTTAATAACATTATCATCGTCAAATACCCGGTTCTTTTTTCGGGCTGTTTTGGCAGCGCTTTGGTCAACAACGTCATATAGTAATATACTACGACACACTAAAATAAATATTTGAGGGAAAGAAAGTTTTTGGCTTTCTACTACTCCATCTGATACAAAAAAATGGATGAGAGAATCTTCCAAAGAAAGGAAGATTTTTTTTCTTTAATGTTATCCAATTTGGTACTGAAGAGCCTTAAGGCAAGTGTCTTAAGGCGAAACACGTGTATACCAGTTAGAGTGACAGTGTTCCATGTGAGTACAATTTATTACCATTCATTCAAAGTAGAACTCATGTGAATGATATCTGATTCTTATTCCTCAACAAATGTTCGATAATAATAAATATCGAGATAAAAAATATGAACTTTTAGGATTTCAAAATACTCGAATATACCGATATACAGGTACTAAGTGCACTTAGGATAACATTATGAATATCTGAAATTACTTTCAATTTTCAATTATTGACCGTATATAATGACGAAGCGATAATTTTATAAATAGTTTTAAATCTTTTTTGAATCTGAATGTTGACGTTTCGTTTTGCAGTGTTTCGGAAAGGAGATTAAATACTTTTGGTGCTAAATATTGATAGCATTTTTGGCCTATTGATTTCGAAGCGAAAGGTACTGAATAATCATTTTTATGTCTTGTAGTATAGTCTATGAGAAGGTTCAATAAGTTCGGTCCTATTAAAGAACTGAGTTGTAGCGATGTGGTAAAAGAATACTTATCAAAAATCTCAGACTCTTCAAGATAGCATCACTCGCGTATCTGTTGCTTTTGAAAAGCACTATTCTTAGGAATCGTTTTTGCATTACTTCAAGTGGCTTTAAATAGGTTTTAGAAACTCCTTTCCGTCCGACTATTCCATAGTTTAAGTGTGATTCTATGAAACTTTGATAAAGAATTTTGAGAATAGAATGTCTGCCTGAATCTATATAGAATACATCGAAGTTCTTTCACTAGATAATATATATGTGAGTTCCATTTGAAGTGCTTATCAAGATACTTAGTTTTATCTGCCGACATAATGGTGGAGTTTTTACCGATAGAAATTTGATTGAAGTGCGGTGAATAAGTTTCATTGCTGCTGAAAAGTTAGTAATTGGTTTTTCCGAAATTAATGTACAGCAATCTATAATACAGTCATTTTATTATCTTGGAAAAGTCATTTTCGATTCTATGTTTTAATTCGTGCCAAGTGTTACTTTCTTAGAACAGGACGGTATCGTTCGCGAAACTATTCAAATCATTCACAACGACAAAATATAATTAGTATAAATAATACTCACCTTGATTTTTGGAAAAAGCCGGCAACCAAGAAGAGTTTTTAATAAGCACTCGTAGTTCTATGATCACAAACAAGTGTCGTCAATACTATTTCGCTGGCAAAATATTCGTAACAGCCGAGTTTCTAATTACTTCTTTCTACTGTACCTGGCCACCGTTCTGATTATATGTATTTAGGTATACCTGCACATGATACTTCTCCCGATTGTCAATTGGTTTACGTCACACATTGTCAAATGCCTCTGCGATGTATTGGATTAATACAGTTACAAGCAACTGACCGTGGACATATTCAATATGAATTAGAGATTGATGAGATCAATAAATGACGAAAAAATTCAAAAGAATAACTTGATATTGGTAGTTTTGAAAAATCAAATGATTCACTAAAACCAGTTAATTAATTCGAGAACCTATGAATAAGATTCATTTCTACGTAAACAAAAATAATTGAAATTGAAAGGGTTATATTTTTAGGAGTGGTTAATTTTTGGGAAAGAATGTTTTTGGCTTTCTGCTTCACCATCTTGATACAAAAAATATGGGAATCTTCCAAAGAAAGGAAGGAAGCAATCAATTTCAAATAAGTTATTCTATACAAAGATAAGATGTGTCGGAAAGTTACTTCTTTGCATGATCTATTTTGAAAGTATTGGTTTTTTCCGTCCTTTGGAAGATTCCTACATTTTTTGGATGATGATGGATGAGTAGAAAGAAAAAACATTTTTTTGTACGACTGTCATTAAAAGAGACATTTTCAATGGTTGTCAAGAGTATTGAAACATGATGTTTACGAAGTAACGTGTTAAAAATATTTTCAACGCGANTATTATTTCATTTAGAATATAGCAATGTTACCACTTGATAAAATAAACTACCTGTATATTGGATTCTTTGTTTTTCCCAATAAGTCGTAGATTTACAATAAAAAAAAACGGTTGTAGACAATATGGCTCTTTGAGGTTATATCATTATTACTTGAATAAAAAGTGACGCTAGAATTTGCAAAATTGGTCAAAATGAATATTTCATTTTTCACACATAATAACCTTCACTTTTATGAGATATAATTGGTTTCAAAAACAATTTTGAAACCATGAAATCAAATTACAGATATTGATGTGTTTACAAAATCAATAATTATCCAGTTCACAATACAATATCTACATTATCACATGTTGTTTTCATTAGAAAATAACAACTGCCATATTTGTATAGAAATGTTCCACCATGAGTGATAATAGATTCATGACAACATTGTTTTCACACTATTGCAGAAAAAACTAGATAAATAACAGTGATTGATGTGTAATGTATGGAATACTTATCATACTCGCATCCGCTACCACCTCTCAGTCTTAAACCCATTTGTCCTTCTGACAAAAATCAGCTCCCGCTTGGGCTTCCCTATTATTCATCATACAAGTTAGTCGTGATCATAATGTTGAAACGGCGCAAAGATATATATTGGTTACCACTTATGTTAAAATATTTTTTATATTCACTGTTCCTAGAAGAATCAAGTGTTGTAACATCTTTTTCATTTTCAGGAATGTTGCCTAAAAAATCGACTGTGGAGTGGGACTTGAATTGTTTAGCCAGTAGATTTGCTTTTTCTATGGCTGTTGTTGCAGTTGATTGAACCATCCGCTTGTTTCAGTGATGGAATTGTGAATTTTGAAAGTTCTGATTAACAGCTTTAGCTACCGACCAGAAGGATTTAGACCCGTTGGGATCAGCAAGCAGTTTGCATCTGTTGCGAGCTAATCTAGTGCAGCTAACCTTGCAGATGTTGTACCTAACCTAGTTCGGTTTTTGGTACTAGGATTTCGGAGGCGACAGCTTGCTACCAATGTTTGTTGAACCACGGTTTGTCGTTAGAAGGTCGTTTCATTAAAAAAGAATATATGCATTCATGGATGATAGAATAACTTCCGTGACTTCAAAAATTCTGGAAATGGTCTTGAAGATCCCCCCTATTAATATCCCATTTGAAAAAATATATTTCTCACACCACTGAATTCTACGTACAAAAGTGCTTTGGAAATGTTTCCATGGAAAGAAGAAATTTTCGACAAGAAAAAAGTTACAACAACTTTTCGAAAATTCACATTTTCCAAAAAACATGCTGTAACTCAGTAACGATAATTGATATCGATGTGAGGTTCTACCATTGAGTTTGTCATGAAGTTTGATTCTCAGTCACAGCCATTAGTTTCCGTATATCCGTCGTATCCGTATACAAATAAATTTGTATGATCCGAGTTCTTGAGTTCCTGAATAGGTAGCGAATTGATTTCAACTTTCTGACTAAGAAATTACAATGGTTTCTCCAGCTACGTTGTTCAAAATGAAGACCCCTAAATAATTTGTTGACTCTACATTCTCCAGCAAAATTGAATTCTTTTTTGAGGTTTGCTGCATATTTTCCGGTGATTATGAAACCGTAACATATGCCTTTCAAAAATGTTCGAATACAAGGGAATTGATGGATGTAGCCGTTATTATGTGGTAGGAGATCATAATGAAATAGAGAGAATTGGAACTTTCTATGTTTGTTTACCACTTTTATACGTAACTCATGTTGTTTTTGTAGTTTCGTCCTATAAATACACTTTCAAACAATTGAAATTGTTACAAAAGTTACAAATAAAAGTGGTAAAAAAAACATTTGAAATAAACATTTGTAGCTTTTCCCTGAAGATGATAATAAATTTTATCGAAATATTGGAATAACTTGTGTTATAAGAGTACACTTCCGTTCTGCTGTTCACCCAAAGAAATTCCCAAGTTTTGTTCTTAACTAGTCAGCAAAGACTGTCCTTCAACTATATATATATAAAATTCTATTCTGGAGAATATACGCTGCAAGTGCTCCTGTCGAACCTTTGATACATTCTAAGAATATGAGATGCACTTTTGACGAAATTCATATTTTTGGAAAGAAATGATAAAAAATTCAGAAACCAATTTTTGAATATTCACATGCACCAAATTTGCTCACAATTTTGTTGAATTTGAATCGACTCAATGCGGAGAATGCTTTTTATTTTCATGGTAATGGAACCTATAAGTGGAGTACTTGCGCAGTGAAAAAAGAACATAATCCACTTAAAGTGTTTCATTTCAATATTATCTCACCTTGGGTAATTGGTTCTGAATATGATTGTTGGAGCAAAAAGAAAGTAGAAATATTCAGAAAAGTTCGGAAGTGGCAAATCGCTCTCAGTATGCGGCTTATACCAAAGAATAGGTCCTGCACTGGTTCTGATGAATGCATGAAGTTTCATTGAAAGTCTTATCTGTAATAATAATAATTATAACTATATAACTTCATTCACAAAAAATAAATACAAATACAGATACAAATAAGTTACAACATAGAATAAATTGATAAAGTGATTTTAGGATAAGTGCAAAGCACTTGTTTCCCATAAAAATTGACATATTGTATGAATGGTATTATATAGACAAAAACATGAGCATGTAACATTAAAAAAAATGACAAAATACTATAAAAATTTATGAAATGTGGAAATTGTAACAATCTAAGAATGCGTGTGTATATAATTAAGTCAAGTATCATAAAAAATACACAATGCAATAATAATGAAAATAACTTCGTTCACTTAACAGATAGCTGTACAGAAATCTGATCTGAAATGATAGTAAGATAGTAAGTGATTTTTATATTGATTAATGGTTAGGATGGAAAACAACAGAATCATTTTTTTAACATATTTGTGAAATGATTAAGTGGATTTCCAATGATTTCAGAGAAGAAATATTTATTGATATTCTTGTACTGATTGTAGTTGAAAATTGAAGTTATTATGAGCATAGTTAGTTATTTCCATTCAAAATCTACTTTTAATCGCATTGATTATCCTAATATTGCAGTCTACATTGGGATCCTTCCAGAACAACCTCCTCTTCAAATTTTTCCGACTCCCTTGCAATGGGGAGTCCCTTACAGGTCACTGTCATCTGAATTATCATATGCAGAGACTCAAACTGTTGGAAAGACAGTGTGTGTCGCCACTGTTTGGAAAATGATGAAACAGCAGAGCCTATTCTTTTGTGCCTGTCGCGTTGCGGACGAATCAGGTTTTCAGAGTGAATTTCACGCAATTTTGTTAAACTACAAATTATCTTACAGTTGCAGTTGGTTATTCGTTCATTTGTTACTTTTTTTGGGATATTAATGAATTTTTCGCTATAGACGAATACGTAAAAAATCTTCTCAAGAGCTAAAATTTACTGAAGGCATGATAGTTCCAGGAAATAAAGAGTTTTTTTATTCAATATTGAAAACAAGGTGAGATTTGTAATGTATTTGATAATTCATTTGGAAAAACATAGTAATCTGAAGACTTGTCAAGCTATAGAAGATGCAGATACATTAATATTCCATACAGCATTAAATATAGCTGAACAATCTGGAAAGAAAGGCATTATTGTTGGAACTGATGTTGATTTAGCAGCTATAATTATAGATTTAACTCCGAGTGTCAGATATATCGCTTTATGGAAGCCTAAAATTGTAAAAACTCCAGATTATCTCTATGAAGCTAATAAAAATATGAAATTGAAGAAAATATTACTGTTCGCTCATGCTTTCAGTTGTTGTGATACTGTAAGCTCTAATTTCAACAAAGAAAAATACAGCTTTTACAGTATTTAATTCAGAAATATCTGACGCTAAGAGAAGAAGTAGATACATTTTATAAACCTCGATCAAAATCTGATGAAATCAAAGAACACGGAGAAAAAGTTATGTAAAAATTATTTGGAAGTAGTCAAAACTCTACAAATGCATGTAGGATTGACCGTTTTTCGGTCAGTCTTACCAGTGCAAACTCTGTTAATTTAGCAACATCACCACCGTCCGCTTCAGCAACTCATCAACATTCATCAAGAACATATTATCAAGTGCAGACATGGTTGAAATATCCTTTGAGAGCTCAAGATTGGGGATGGGAAAAAAACCGAGACATTATTTCTACCTATCAAGACAACTGAACCGCTGGCACCATCAGAATTACTGAAAATTGTTTACTGCAGCTGCACAATGTCTGGCTGCACCAAAAGTTGCAGCTGCAGGAAAGCTGGAATAAAATGTACCAAGGTGAAAATTGCACAAATGCATCAGATATTGTTGAGAATATTAATGATCGAGATGAAGATGAAAATAGTGACTCTGATGATCGAGATGGGGATTTCGAATACGGCATGGCTACTGATAAACAAAATAAAAAGAAGTCATCAAAAAATTATTCGCGGAAACTTCGGAGCAGATTCAGACTCTGAATCTGAAGAAAACATGGAGCCAGATGACACTGGTGTAGAAGAAGAAATGTAAGAATCTAGAGATCAAGAAACCTCCCGAGTAACAAAGAAAAAAGAATAGCACGTTCACTTCCAAATCTAGATATTGCAAGTACTTCAAAAACTTCCCTCCCTCAAAAACGTAGGAAAAGACAAAATTATTAAAATAAATTGACTGCTTTATTATTCTTGATATAATAATGACGAATATCATCGACGCTAATTGTAATATTACGATTAAAATTTTGTATTCGAAAGGAATAAACTTCTTTCAATGATATACATATTATATCTACCCAACAATATCATTCTAACCTCGTGTCCATATATTTTTTAATGAAATTATGGCATGTTTAAAGCATTTTTTTAATTATGAACTAGAATACAGTGAAATAGTAGTAAGCAATTAGGTGGGAATATATTAATTCCCAAAATTTAGCGAAATTAATTGATAGCTCATAAAAAAATGAACAAATAAACAGATAACCAAATGCATCTGTAAGATGCATAGTTTAACAAAATTGCTCTGAAGTTTAATATCCGAATTCGCAATATTTACTGAGCTGTAAGCCTGAAAAGTTAAAAAAAACCCGAGGAAATCGTTAATTTTCGTAAACAAATGCCTAAAACAACAAATAAACAATAACTAAAAAATATATGCAAGACGGCATTTGAAAAATAATTCAATCATCTACAAAAATGACCGGAATGTTTATTGTCGTTATCTCTAATAGTTTAAAAGTTATAGAAGCATTAAAGTCAACAAGTGGATCAGCTGCTGCAACTTTTGCAGCACGTGTAATATAACCTTTCCTTAAAAATATTTTCTCGTAACAGTATCATTCACAGGAATTGAATCTATAAGAACCCCTTGTTTTGGATGAATGAAGTGAAGGTATTTACGAAAAAAAATTCAATTCAACGCTAATTGTCACAAATGAATATGTTGTTTTTCAAAAACCTCTGGTAATAATCATCATTATTTGATGACTGGATGGTCGTGGTGTAATTGGAGACAATTCATCTTTAATAATCATCCTCTTGGAAATTCAACTATTTTTACAGTTCAACTATTTTCACAGTTCATTTACCTGCTCCAGGAGAACAGTACAGGCTGAAGGAGGAGGGAATCGGAAAGTGTCAACAAAATATTTTGCTAACATGAAGTAGCATATTTGAAACACTATATATGTCACCAACCAGGCTATATCCCAGAGTTTGATAATGCGTGCTGGAAAAGAAAAAACAATGTGAATATTTCAGCAATCAATACTCAACAAGATATGTTGATGTTGATATTATTTTTTTCTAAAAAGTAGTGAATAATATTCTTAGTACACTACAAAAAAGATACATTGGTGGGGCACCGAAAACGAAACAGATCGAATATCTTCAAAACACATGTGTTCTGAGAAAAATGCAAAAACAGGTCGATTTTTTATCCAAGGGGGACATCTTCCTATCATAACCTCAATTGTCATACACCTTCCCCCACCCCTTGGTGACTATCACCCAAGCAATTTGAATAGGGAAAGTAGTAAGTGTGACACAGGGCAGGAATTGGAGCGTTTCTCTTTAGGCAGCTGCCCGAGCAGCTGATGAACTCGGTATAGTTTTCGACACTGAACGAGGTGACGACAACTCTGTCACCGAGTTGGAACCCGTTTAGCAAAAACTCATATAGAAGCCGCAGATATAACCTCACCTCTGCGGAAACACAAGGATAAGCCAATGCATGGGGTCTTCTTCAATAACATTGGAGACCTTGGCTTATCAAAGCGCCTGACTTTTGCTTTCCTCAGTTCTAGTGGGTAGAAGTCGAAAACTGAGGTGTTTATTATGGCTGCCAGAATGGTGTCTTCCACACCTTAGTCTACCGTAGTCGCGTGATGGGTATAGAGGTTCCTGACACAAGGTTCAAGGCCTGCCGCGAGGCGCTCGAAACACTAATGCACTTGCTATCAGCATGTCCAGCATATGCGGTCTCGGCCTATATCCTTCGACATAACTCGGCCCTAAGAGTGCTATATTACCATCTATGGCAATTTTACAGTATTGACGAGACACCGGTGTTGCCCTACGCTCCGTGGAATATTGAATCCGTTGTGGAAACGAGAAGTGCCAAATTTATTGAAACTATTCCTTTCCTACCCTCAGGCTCATACAAGCTAATAAGCCTGATGTAGTCCTTAGGTACTAGGTTAGACTATAAAATGGTTGTAATTTAGAAGTAACTCTCAGTTTATGCTTGAGGAAGCGGTTTTTGTAAAACCCTTTATAGTGAAAATGATACAATACAGTGTATTAGTTAGTTTTGATATGGATTTTCATCAAATATCGGCCAGTTCTATTCAATTATTCAAGCCTTAAAATAGTCAAATTATATCGGAAGACAGAGTTTGTTATTATCAATAGATCTGTGCACATCATCCACAAGTTTCGGAAGGGCAGTCGTACAACTGTGGTCAGGTCTGAACCTTGATTGTCACTCAGTTATTACAGTGGTCTTCTTTAATGTCCTCCCTTTCTTTCATTTTTGAACAGGGCAACTCAAAAAATTGAAATTTGGGATAGTGCAATTAATGCATGAATACTTCATTTTGTAGTGAAATTGACAGATGAAACTTTCAAGATGACGACTGGGCGACACCTGGAAAAAAAAATTAAATGGAAAGGGGGTCTTGTGACACATATTTTTCAAGATACTGACAAATGCTTCACAACCCTAGAATATAATGTGAATATCTTCAACTACTATAAAATGGCGAAACTTTTAATAATTGCCTGAATACATTGACATTTAACTACATAATATGAGGTAATAAGCTTGAGATCAGTTCAGAAAATGCTTGAAATGGTTGCCTTGTACTTCTTGACATATGAACAGCCTATCCGATATTTCACGCCAAACATTTCCGAACACAGTAACGTCAATATCTCTACAAATATTTGTTATTCTCTGACGTAAATCCAATATTGAAGCAAGTTCACTTCCGTACCCCTTTTTGCTTCAAATAGCTCCATAAAAAAGTCCAACAGTGTCAAATCTGGCGAGCGGGCTGGCCATTCTGTAGGACCTCGATGGTCAATCCAACGACTGGGAAAAGTAATATTCAAATAGTTTCTTACTTGTCTGGTGTAATGTGGTGGTGCTCCATCTTGTTGGAATACAATATCCATATCGAATTCATTAGGATTCGCTTCGACGATTTCAGTGATGAGAGGCTCAATAGTAGTTTCCAGTTAATTCAAAACAGTTGCTCTGTTGAATTTTGATCAGTAAATATAGGTCAAGTAACTTTCAGACACAAACTGAAAGAAAGTCCTCCTGAAACAGCTACTTTCATATAAACATTGAATTACACGAAAGAAAAAAATTCTTTCGAAACAAATACTTTTATGTGAACACTTAATTATACAGAAGATACTTTTCTCTACTCAGTTTGTATTCCAAACATTCGTTGTGGAATAAAAATCAGATATCATCCACATGAGTTCTACTATTAATGAATGGTAACAAATTGCACTTAAATGGAACACTGTCATCCTCACTGGTATACATCGATGTTTCGCCTCAAGACACTAGCCCTAAGGCTTTTCAGTACCAAATTGGATAAAATTATAGAAAATACACACAATCCATTCATGAATTACGATTTAGAATGTCACGGAATAAGCTTGATCTGCTTATATCATCGATGACATCGTAATGCCATTCATTCACCTATTTGATTTGTTGGAATTGCCATATGGCAGATAAAAAGGAATATTTCTAGAAATTGATTACACCCTTTCTCTCTTTGGAAGATTCCCTCTTCCCTCATCTTTTTTTTTTGTATCAAGATGGAGTAGTAGAAAGCCAAAAACTTCCTTTCCTGCGCTGATAGAACACATAAGATGCTAATTGTCGGAGATCGCCTAAACTTTAGGGGTTAGAATTTTTGGCCAACGAAAAAACATTTGCTTGCTTCCAGATGGATGGATAGGAATTAGTTGATATGCAGTGATTGCATAAGTGGAAGGATTGTGGGACAGCAGTACAGACCATCTCATCAGGTCTTGCAGTATTCCATTTCATTTTCAGAATAAACTTATAGATTTCATTGCCATCAGTAGCTTTATAGGAGAAGTTGGGATTGTTTATATTATTACTCGAACAAAAGTTCATAATTTCACCATCAGGGGAAGAGTTGCAGTTGGATATACTTCCAAAAAATTAGTTGACGAATTCAACGTTCAGTAAGTGGTCTCGAATGGATTTGAGATTTATTTCATGGTGAATATTCAAATCCGATAAATCTTTCCTTATCTGTTTACTTCTTGTCAGCCGGTGATTGAGATATGCCTTTTTCGAAGAACTGAAGATCAATAACAATTGAATTTATACATAACATCGAAAATGCTCTCATTTCAAGGTCAGTTTTATGAGTTTTGATATGAAGTGTAATGAATTATTTATAGGTCCTCACCTTTGGGGAGCAAACTTATCCGTGTTTTGGCCCAAAAACCAAATGATGCGAAGCTCAAACAGTTCAATATCATAAGTATCATCCAACAAAATAGCACTTTATGGAATTTTCCAAATCCAGTAAATATCAGTGTGACTCCAAAATGTACCCTGAAATGGAAAAATTATGAAAATCACCTTCGATCTAATTCTAATCTGTTGATGGATTGAATATTTTTCGTGAAAGAAAACTATGATTTCCTGATGAACCTAACAATTTTCAAGAAACTATGAAGTGGCTTATAAAAATCTATATGTAGTAATTTTATGAACTATACCTTACGATTTGATCTTCACAAACTTCATTTGCAAAATATTTTAAGACATGTTTCTCTATCATAGTAGTTTTTTCGTAGAGTGTCAATTACTAGAGTTTGTGAAGATCAAATCGTAAGGTGTAATTTATGAGAGTACTGAGAATCTTCATCAAGTAACGGCCGAATCAATTAGAAAAAAAAACCATAGTATTATTAGATAATAATAATAATATTACTCGACTCGTTTGAAGTAGTGAAGTGGACTCGGTAGGAGCTGTATCAACTAGACCTAAAGACCCGAAAAATGATACATCTCTATAGAAGTTTGGATCCCAAATCGTCCGTTCCACGATTGTACTTCCTCCAACAGGGATACCGTGGACTTTTGGGTTTGAAGTGTCTACATGACAAAATGGTACTGGATATAGCCTGTAAAGTCGTCAGAAGTTCAGATACCCTTCTCTGCATGGTCCGTGACCATGAGAGAGCAGAAATTGGAGAATTTCTTTTTAGGGTAGCTGCCCGAGCAGCTGATGAACTGGGTTTAGTTTTCGACACTGAACGAGGTGACCACAACTCTATCACCGAGTTGGAACCCGTTCAGCAAAAAGGTCATATAGAAGCCGCAGAGATAACCTCACTTCTGTGGAAACACAAGTATAAGCCAATGCATGGGGTCTTCTTCAATAACATTGGAGACCATCGCTTATCAAAGCGCCTGACTTTCGCTTTCTTCAGGTAGGGTGGGCTGAAATCGGAAACTGAGGGGTTCATCATGGCTTGCCAGGATGGTGTCTTCAACACCTTAGTCTACCGCAGTCGCGTGATGGGTATAGAGGTTCCTGACACATGGTGCAGGGCCTGCCGCGAGGCGCCCGAGACCCTAATGCACTTGCTATTAGCATGTCCAGCATATGCGGTCTCGGCCTGTATCCATCTACATAACGCGGTCCTAAGAGTGCTATATTACCATCTACGCGACTCTTACGGTATTGACGAAACACCGGTGTTGCCCTACGCTCCGGGGATATTGAATCCGTTGTGGAGAACGAGAAGTGCCGAATTTATTGGAACTATACGTTCCTCACCCTCAGGCTCATACAAGCTAAAAAGCCTGATGTAGTCCTTCTCGACCACCAGAACAAAATGATATTTGTCATGGAGTTTTCAGCTCCTGGCGAGACGAATATCGTCCGGAAACAGGAGTAAAAACGGATAAAATATCAAGATTTTCTCTTCAAACTTCGACTCTATTCATGCCATTCTGTCAAGATGGTTGTTCTGATTATTAGAGTCCTTGGTGGAATGATGTCCTCTTATGAAATCATACCTGTCAAGTAGATATCAAGCCGTTAGTGTAAACAACAAAGTTTCAAAATTTGAACATGCAAAGTATGACGTTCCGCAGGGGTGAGTACTGGGACCCCTGCTATTTATAATTTATGCTAATGACATCAGTAAATTCATGCAACCATTTAGCACCGTACTATTTGCCGACGATACGACATTTATATATTCAGATAGAGAACTATCAGAACTCACAAGAATATCCAAAGAGGTGGATGATAGGGCTGAAAATTGGTTTTTGGCAAATGGTCTCAAAATAAATAGTGAAAAGTCACAGAGTCTTCATTTTTCAAGCAGCAACGCCACATCTAATGTTGACAGTGTTAAATTACTGGGTATATATTTGGACAGCACTCTCAGCTGGGTGTGTCATATTGTCAGCTTTAAAGTAAATTATGTACTACACTTTTCATCCTTCGTCAAATAAAAATGTTGTCAGCTTTAGCACGCTGAAAACAATGTATTTTTCTCTTCTTCATTTCCTTATCAGTTATGGTGTCCTTCTTTGGGGTAATTCTACTGGTGCTGAAAAAATGTTCAAACTACAAAAAAAAGCAATGAGAATTATTGCAGATGCCGGTTTTAGGGATCATTGCAAACCCATATTTATTCAGATGAAAATAATGCCTTTACCAAGTATATATTTGTTCAATGCGCTTATTGAAATAAAGAAGAAGTCGAACTGTCTCTCAAAACAGTCGGATATTCACACTTATAATACCAGGCATGCCGATAAAATTGGAACGAATTATTTTTGCTTAAATAAATCTCAAAAAAATAGTCTTAGTTTGTCCATGTTCAAGAAAGCTCTGCAAAAGTATTTTTTGAAACATCGTTTCTACTCTTTAGATGAATATCTGAAACACTCACGTGAATCTTCCATGACTTGATCACTTTGACAACTAAGTAACATTATCGAACTTTTATAATCTATGTGTTTTTATTTATACATCACTTATATTCTAGTGCCCCGGCGTTTGAATTCAATTGATTGTATTGACTTGCTACAAACATTTTTGTATGTAACGTAGTGAAATAAATTCTATTCTTATTCTATTCTATTCTATTCTATTCTATTCTATTCTATTCTATTCTATTCTATTCTATTCTATTCTATTCTATTCTATTCTATTCTATTCTATTCTACTCTCAAATCTTAAAATCATACTGTTTTGCCACAGTTAGGCATAACTCTTAACCGGACAGATGCAGTAGGCTGTCATTCTTGGCTCAGTGCGCTTGCTCAGGGCATATGATTCTCGGACCCCACGGTGTGGAGAGTGGTCGTTGGTTGATAATGCTGGAGCGCCCTCACAAATGTATCGCGGCTTCGTGGGATAGGGCCTGACCAGCGTACAGTACGGTGAAAAATGAATAATAATAATAAGCAGGGATGTTCACTAACACCCTTGGCCTTTGGTGAGTTGCGCCACCACTTACCCGAGGAACTGGTGCAAAACTGGACTGGCAGCCCAGGCGCACCCGGGAACGAGAACTGCCGGTGCTGGCAGTGAGTCCACTGGGCTAACCACCCGGTGGATCTAACACTTGGTTTCTAGCAATCGAGAAGGGGCCCCCACAATCGACCCGTTCGGAGGGGTCAGAGGCAAGGTGGTGGGGCCCATGACGATGATTTACCTACCGATGACAACCCTGGCAAGCCAAACGGATGCTTTAAGTGGACGCATGAGCTGAGAGATAGCCTTATGTATTGCTACGAGAGTAGTGAGCCCGCGCAAAGAGGGTACATGGCGAGACTGTATGCTCCGTGGTGTGGAACACATCCGGAGCATGCTGCTTTATCCGCCCGAAATCTTTGAGATTATGTATCCTATCTTGGGCGGCAGGGCCATATAGCTCCTTCCCAGCCTGCTAACAAAGTAGTAGAAGTGGCAGATCTACCAACCGTTGGCACGGCTGGAGAGGAATCTCGCATCATGCCATCAACGGAGTTAATCAGAACACGCAGGGCGCTCCACAGAATTAGGCCCCTGAAGTCACAAGAACTGGCTTGTTTTGATGCGTTCCTATGCAGGAGCCCATAGAAGACGATTTCGATAAAAGAACTTATACTGGTGAGTAAATTATGGGCATGTTGGATAACAATATCATCTAATTAGAAGAGTTATGTTTTTTGATGAGTGTACTTCGTCTCTTAACGGTCATGCTAATCGTCGAAATTACCGCTACTGGTCAACGGAAAATCCTCACTTGATAAGAGAAGAACACATGCAATACCCTCAAAAGTTTAATGTTTGGGCAGGGATTATAGGAAACCATATCATTGGTCCCTTTTTCATTGAGGGCAATTTGAATGACGATGCTTATTTGGCACTACTTCATAATTATATCATTTCAAGTTTAGCAAATTTATATTCTGATCCAGGAAACCCTCAAGTTCCAGTGAATACGATATGGTTACAGCAAGATGGAGCACCAAAACATTACCAAGTTAATGTCCGGCAATACCTCGATATAACATTTTCCAATCGGTGCATAGGGAGGCGAGGATAAATTGAATAGCCAGCGCGATCACCTGATCTTTCATCATTAGATTTCTGTTTATGGGGATATGTTGAGAGCAATGTGTACAGAAGTAAACCTTCAGATCTGAATGACTTGAAAGAACGAATAACGCTTGAGATTAGGTCGGTCACGCTTAATATGTTAAATACTGTTAGAAGACAGTTTCATTTGAGATTAGGATTTTGCCCCGACGTTCTTGGTGAACATTTTGAACATCTAACATTGATAGTTATTTTTCGTATTCTACATATCATTACCTTTTGCATTACATTTTGGTTTTTGAGTGTATTTTATAGAATTTTGGTAACCATATGATTTTAATTTATTTCATCTTAATTGTTGCAATAAAATTGAAAGCGATAACATTTTTAAATAGAGAATGAAGAGACCTTTCAAACAATATATCACAAACCTATACTTTCCTTTAAATAATTGGGGTTTGTACCTGTCGTTCGGAAGAGGTTGAAGGTAGGGGTGGCATTTTTACGTTGAAGAATGTCAAATTATAATTTACATTTGAGATGTTTCGGATTTTTTTAAAATGTACAGTAACCGAAATAATGAATTTATTCCATTTGGCTTTTACACACTGTATAAAAGAAATACATCAATCAAGTACTCAAAATCAATATGGAGAAGAAAACGAATTCACATGAATATAAAACTGATCACTAATTAATCCAGTCATTTCAGGTTTTTTGAACTTCAATCTGCGGAAAAATTTTTACTGAGCTGAATTTTGGTATACTCCTTCATTATGGCGTTTTAATGAAGATGTGAAAAATCGACATTGATATCGTGTCGCCTAAAAGAGTTATAAGGGTCAAAAGGTCACAAAAATCAGTTTTTCGCGAATATCTTGCGACCTATAGCTCGGAGGTCAACAAATGTCATTATAAAAATTATTCCTCATATGATTATCTACAAAAAATGTCTCTTGTATTTCTCTGTAAAGTCAACCGTTTTCGGACTAGA